CCGCTGTCTCTCTCTCTCTCTTCTCTCTCTCTCGCTCTCTCTCTCTCTCTCTCTCTCTCTCTCTCTCTCTTCTGGTCGTTTAATTATCGTTTTTTACAGGGCTCCCTGTCCCCCATAAGGCCTTTGCTTTGGCGGGCCTCGAGAAAGCTACAAGGGGCCCTACAAGGGGCTCTGAGTCGTGAACCGACACATGCGGGAGTGTGTTCGACATTCCGGACTCCTTCTTGATGCTCCCATAACAAGGCACCGCCATGCAGGGCGTTCGTCGCTTTCAGGGACTCGGATCTGGGAGATTTATTGCACCTTACATGAATCTCTTAAGAGCCAAGCCCCGGTGTGTTTTGGGCACAGTGAGCTCGAGGTTGCTGAAGACTTCTGGATGATCAAAGTTTCTCCTAATGTAAACGGCCGCCGCAGAATGGAACCGGTACGAAGAGTACCGCGTTACAGCCACGAAGATCAACACAATGAATTAGTTCGCATGCTGATGTTCAGCCTCGTTGAGTTGCTTTGCGTACAATTAATACTTCCACAGCAAGCACACGGCGAAAAGCACCACCAACAAGCGCAGTACTGACGACGCCGGTGTGCCGTCGAGTTACTCTCAGCTGATAATGCAATCCCCCTTGTACCTCCCAGGGTCCCGGTAGCGCCTTAGAAGACTATAGTGACACCTTTTTCTGGTATGCAGTTTCGAAGAGCAGCAACACAGCAAAAGCAATGAGTTGATGGCACACGCTAAGATTGCTAGCACAGGTTTGAACACTTAAGCCTCTCAATGCGAGCTGCAAGTAACCCGATCCCTGACCCTAAAACCTGAAGCCAGGCTGCAACCAAAAACACAACACGCCCCTAGAAAAGGAGACGACAGAGAAATTTACAAACTATAAGATACTCTGCGAGCCCTTCTTCTGCGAAACCGGCAGGCAGCCTGGCTTTGTCGGCTCCAGCGGTTGCCATGATGATGAACCTCGTCGGGTTTCGGATGTGGTCCAGGGCTCAATGGGGCGTCGCGGTTTACTGGCGGGCTGAATCTTCAGGCATTGGGTTTGATGGGGGCTTTGTCGGGTTTTATAGTCTTCTACGGGTCTCGCCAGGCTGTAGACGTGTTTCGGGAGGGAGTCTAGTTCAAAAAACCCAAAAAAGGAACTACAATGGAGACTATAGATAGAACGGGTATGAGTATTTGATGTGCAAAACATGCACACATATGACAGTCAGAAGTCGAAGGACAAACGCACGATTCGACTTCAGGGCTCAATTCCGAAAGCCTGGATTTTTAGGATGGACGAAGATGGAGACGACACTGACGATGTGACAGTGCAGCTCAGCGCGTGCCAAATTCTTTTGGACTGAACAATCAGGATGGGCTGAAAGTTGTGAGATCTTAACCACGACGGTCGCAAGACATTGGCATGCCTGAAACACACATTGAAAATAGAAGCTCAGCAAGAATACAACTGTCAAGGAACATGCGGACATCGCCGATGACGGTGCCAAAAACGCAAGAACTCCTTGAAGCCTTCTCCTAAACGAGGTCTCATGGAATCCTAGACCCTGATCCGTAAAGCTTCAACCCCACAACCCCACCTATAGTCTCCATTGTAGCTCCTTTTTTTGGCTTGACCAATTATATATTAAGGATCCTATAAGGTAACCCAAAAAAGGAACTACAATGGAGACTATAGGCAACCTCCAAGCTCCGAATCGTGTGAAACCACGCGCGCCTCCCTGCGCTTTTCGGGGCAGCGGCTGGGGAGCACCGGCGGTTCTCAGGGCCACTCGGACAGCTCTGCGGGAGGGACCCCCCAAAAGGATCCTTAATGGGGGTTCCTGTAAAGGGATCTATAAGGGTACTACACTGGCTTCTTTAAAGGGATCTATAAAGGGTACTATAGGGTTAGGGAGGATCCAAAAAGTAGATCCCGTTATGGGGGTTCGTAAAAAATACCCTTAGTAGTAGAGTGCCCCTAATGAAGGGATCTACTTTCGAGATCCTCCCGCGGGTCTGGGCTAACGCTTGCATGTAGGCCTTTGCAGCAAAAGAGCGGATCAGTAAGGGCCATAGTCATGTGTACATGTGCACATAGGGACTGTAAAAGGATATCTTGTTATGCACACTTATTCGAATTTCTATACGACCCCCAAAAAAAAAACTGCCCTTTATGAGGTCCACGTTAGTTCAGGACTCGCAGATCTAGGACTCGAGGTCTCAGTGACTTACCTCAGATGGTGACATTCGGACAGAAGACCTAGAAGACCTAGGACCCGAGCATGAGAGCCCACGACCTGGGTCGGCACTTTAGTTCGAGTTTCGAGTTGTGGTCACCACAAACTCTTTACCGAGATCCTTCAGCTCAAGCTTGGGTGCAGTCATGTGGTCATGTGGTTCACTTTGAAGTTTCAGGGTCCGGTACGGCAGCGTTGGCAAGGGGATTCGGCTGTCGGCAAGAACATTGCAAGCCCAAGTCGGGTTTATGAGTCCAAATCTTCTCGAGTATTTAGTTTGGTTTAAGGCTGTGGGGTAGTTTGCCGCCCTAAACTCCCTCTAAGACCCCACATGCAGATCCGCCACTGCTCCAGCTACTTCCACTGCTGCAGATGATGTCATGCAAAGCGTCGGAAGTGCTTGCAAGAAAGCTTTGGGGTCAACAGCTGCTACAAATAAACAAGATCTGGACAGTGAACTTAGCATCAACACCCCAGTCCCACTTAGTTGAACCAGATTCGGGGGCTTATTCTTCCAGGAAGATGAACACACCTGAATCCCGCAACTCTCAATCTTACAACCCTGAGGCTGCACAAATCATCGCAGAAAGCCATGTCGTTTTGCGACTACGTTCTTTTCTCGAAGCCGTACACGCGCTCGTTTGTCTCACGCCGGAGCCTTAGGCAACACGGGAACACAAAGGAACGCGGATTTATGCTGGGGCTCCCTGCATCCTAGCATGACAATGCAAATTTCAATTGTGGACAGCCGCAAATCAACCCTCTCTGCTGTCGATGAAACAAACCGGTCCCGACCACGACGGGGCACCACAATGGCTGCAGGAGTAAAGCCGCTGTAGCCCGACATGACTTTGGCACCTTGACTCGCGATGAGCAGACCCCGAACGCATGAGGCTCGGGCATCCTCGCCGCTACCAGCTGTTGAAGTTTCTGTGAAAGCCTGAGGAAAAGTGCAGCGCGGCTTGCATTTAGGGGACTGGCGGGGCTGAAACCCCGTCGAACCTGTTCCTTTTTCCTGTGGGTGTGGGCTTGGTTCGCGCTTTATGGTTTCGTTGTGGCGCAGTCTCGAACTGCCAGCCTGAGCATGATAAACATGTACGACATACCGGTAGGAGGTGTCGCATAAGTCATAAGTGGGAGATTCGGTGATCTTGATACACCTCTACTCTTATTGTCACTTTGCTTATTCGCTGCCTCTTTTGGCCGCTGATCTGTGCGGAAGACAGATTCAGGTGAGAAGCTTGGATAGGCTGCATTTGGATCCTTGAGGTCTAAGATAGAGGCGTCAGAAATTTACCACGAACATGCAATAGTACGCAAAACGACATAGCAAACTCCATCTGTGCTCTAGCCGCTGGGCAGCCCTTGGCAAGTAGACACCATCACAACTGTGCTCGTCACGGCAACGGTTTTTGCATTCGTTCTTGTTCGCAAGCTTAGACCAGCTTTGGCGAACACTGTCTTGACCTTCCGCAATTGCAGCTTATTAGACTCTTTTAATGCTCAGCGCCTGGAACGTAGGCATCTGAATAATAAATAAACCTGGTATCCCTCTCTGATTATTAAGGTATTCCCTGCTAATTCTTCCCGATGCGGTGCAAAGCTTTGGTCTTTTGGGGTTCTTTTCGGGGTTCCTTTGAAGGTTCCTCTGTTGGGTTCCTAAAGAGCTCAACCCGAAACCCAAACAGAAGGGTCGATCCTGGGGCCTGCATTTGTGTATAAGGAGTTTTTGAAGTTACGTAGGCCTGCTACACATGAACCCAGATTAAGAGGCTCGACCTACACACTGGTGTGGAGCCTATTGGAGAGCGATTTTGCACAGCTCGAATAAGCTGTTCCAAAAAACACTTGTGATGCTTGCTTTGTGGTATGTGCTTTACGCCACTCAAAACACAAGCTCCTGCTTTGGAGCCATTAACGTTGAAACCCGATAAAAAGCACTGAAACCAAACCCAGGCCCCACAGTGGACCGCTCTCCAGAAGGGTCGATCTCCAACCCAAAACAGTGCCGAAACCGTAAACCCAGCACGGTTTAGGGTTTCGGGTTTAGGGTTTAGGGAGACGGCTGTCTGAGGCCCGGACTTTCCAGGTCGCCAGGGAGCGAAAAACTTCCTCTTCTCCTAGGGCTAAGGCATGTTCAAGCCCTCCTAGGTTTTTTTTTCCAGGCTTTAGGCCTCTGACCTTGCCGGCCTGGGATTAGCATTTGAGGCTGTCAGGTTTAGAAGGGTCGACGGGAATTCTAGGTGCCCATGTAGCTCGCTGGCATGTGAGTTTGTACGCTCGCGATTGTACCATGCATACTATGCACAGCATAGCTGCAGCTGGATTAGGGTGTAGGAGTTAGCCCAGCGGCAAAAATCTCCTTGCCACCAAAGCTCAAAGACAAGATCAGCACTAGACGTGAATCGAGCTCAACTGCCAAAGAGCGGGCTGACAGAGACTGCGAAGACTATCTTGCAAGGGTAACAAGTATCCAAGGGTAAAAGGAGGGACCCTTAATAAGGACCCCTAGGTATATACCCTTAATATAGCTATTAAATAGCTATTATATACCCATTATACAGCCCATCATAGGGTGGGTCCCCATTAAGGGTCCCTCCTTTTCCCCTTTGAAAGTAAAATGAAGCACCCTTCACCAGGACCAGCTCTGCCGCAGAAATCAAGCTTTTGCTCCAAAGGCTTCTCGGCCATGCGTTCCACTTGCGGGTTACCGATTCCTCAAGGTGATGATAGGGTTTGGGGCTCAGGGTCTCCCACTGAAGGCCCTGAGCTTATAGGTTTGCTCCAGAACCTGGGCTTGGTACCATATCCGTGGGCACCAGCTCGTTGTAGAAAGACTTGGACCCGAGATAGCAAGCCAGGACAGCCAGGAGTACATTCATCGTCCATCGGATGGGGCGCTTGCTCCATGGAACAGCGGCACAGAAGGCAAGACTGGGAAAAACGAACATGAAGGCGTAGTCGGTGCAGGAGCTCATCAGGTTAATGACGTCTATGAGACTGCTGGCACGGTGGGCTGCGATTAAAGCAACCGGCAAGACCCAGGCCATGCCAAGCCACGGCCGCCTTGGATTCACCAAATATACGAACCCGCTGCTCTCTGATGCCTGCTGGAAAAGTCTTGCGGGCAGCAGGTCCTCGAGAAGCTCCCTGATGTATTGCAGGAAGGTTTCTGTGAAGACCGGCAATGACAACAGCAAGGATGCCCCGTTCGTTGCCAACACCGTGGCCGAAAGAAACTCGTGTTTCGATTCTTTCAGCGCGAAGTTCTTCAAGATGTCCTCCTCGACACCAGAACCGAATGCCCTCGCACCTCCATAGCCGACGGCCAAGTACAGAACGTAGGAGACGAGCACGGAGCTCGAGCCAATTATCCGGACCCTGCGATGAACCGCCACCCCTCGGAGGAAGTCACCGCTCTCATTCACGACGCCACATGCGAAAAGGACATACTCTGCACTACTGAATGCAAACACTAGGGAGGGGCCATATGACTCAATCAGCTCTCCCCAAGGCTTTGCAACTGATGCGGTTGCCGGCACTGGCTCCAGAAAGAAAAGAGCGACTAAGAGGAAGAGCAGGGTGCCGTTTGCCAGCAAACTGTCCCAGCCGTCAATGTGGCCACCGCAAAAGATCAATACCCCCACGCAGCCCACGCAGATGGCTCCTACTCCCTGGGCAGCAGCTGAAGCGCCTTCTTGCAAGACAGCATCATAAACATCCATGATGGTCTTTCCATAGCTCACGAAAACTCCAAATGCATTCAACACCACCAGCATCCGAAGCAAAACCGCCAGGCGGGGCCCCAGTGTCTGAGACACGAGGCCGCACAAAGATGCCTTCACCGGCACCTGGTGCTGGTTGACCGCCACGGCAACATCGGCCAGGTTCTCATACACCAGCAGAGTCAGCAGCGCACAAGCCCCAAGCAGAATGAAGATTCCCTGAAAGCTACCATCCACCGCCACTTTGGCCATAACGTATAAGGAGGCACCCAGGTGGAAGTTCACCAAGCGCATCACGCCACTAAGCCACATGCTGCCTCGGACCTCAGCCTACGGGTCTACGCGCTCTTATAATCCACGCTGGAGCAAGAAAGCGACTCAGCATTCCCGAATGCCGGAGCATCCCGCATCTTAAGTCCTGCTTGGGCTGAGGTTTGTGGGGGCTTTAATAGTTTAGGGTTTCGGGTTCAGGGTTGGTGGTTTTAGGGTTTAGGGTTTAGGATTCAGGGTTTTTTTTTTTGTTAACCCCTCTTTTCCGACTGCTCCGAAGGTTAGTAAGAACACGGGTTTAGGGTTCAGGGTCTAAGATCAAGGACGGTATCCCGGGATTGCTTCGAAAGGCAAAGTTGCAGACTCGGGGTCTCCAAGTCTTTGGGTCTCGTGGCTTCGAGGCCTCGATCCCTGCTGCTTCCATGGGCTAGGAATTCGGCTAGAGCTACTACTATCTACTACTGCGACCTCCTACTACTACTACTACTACGACGACTACTACGACTAGGGCTGCTTATTCAAACCCTTATCGGCATGGCTCACGGTTTTACAGATGCCCCAGCTCTTTCGCACCGCCCTTAGTGCGCAAACAAACTTCCCGTGGTTCCTTCGCCCCCCTTGCATCTATGGTGAGTGCCATAACCGTTTTGCAGCCAGGCATCCTGGGGTGTTGCCAGTATCAGGGGTCTGAATATTAAGATTCGGGTCCAACGGAGTTCTGCGAAGGCAAATCCTGATAAAAGCACTAAGCCGCGCACTTGCCGGTATAGTCGTGACGTAAGTCGTCGCAGCTGTGATGGGTAGCAGCGCCTTGCAAAGTACCGTATCAAGACAGCGCAAAGTTCCTGCGCCGTAGGACGGTGAGGCGACCGCTCATTGAACAAGATGGCACTAACTCGTGCATGTCATGTTCTGTTGGACCTTAGAGCCCAATTTTACTATCCGGCAGTACCCGGTCTCGACACTGATAAGACCAAAGCCCTTGCTGGAACACCGCTCACACACTGCCCTAAACCTCACGGTAAAGCTTGCAAAGCTCCTTCCCAAAATCAAAGAGCCCAACACAACATCACACAGTTTCGGTTTCGCGCCTAGGATCTTCGCGCTCCGTCCCATCCTCCCTCAATTTGGGACCTGGGTCTTGGGTTTAAGGGTTTACAGTTTCGACAAGCATCACAAGATTGTACATGCTCGATATAGCTCCATCCCACGGACTGTCAACCACTCCTATGTGTTTGCACGCGTACGTGCAAGAGGGCGGGCGGGTGGTTGGTTGGTTGTTTGTTCGTGTTTATTTGTGGTAACATCTGCGTGTTTGTGTGTGTACCTATATGTACAGATATGTATGTATGCATGTATGCCTGTGTGTGGGTGGGGGTCTCTCCCTCTGCAGAAACGACGTATCAATACATGTATGTATATGCAATTAGAGAGGGGGAGAGAGATAGAGATAGATAGATAGATACATGGGTAGGTAGGTAGATGGATGGATGGATGCATATAGATATTACGGACATAGACACAGCAAACATGTGCATGTATAGGCATGTGCGAGACGAAACTACACTGCATGCATCTGGTATTCTCTCTGTCTCGCTCTCTCGCGTGGTCTCGGGGTTCGGGCAAAAGACATCGCTACAACACATGCATAGCTGCAAACATCCGCTCAGCATCTGAACTGCACACACAGTGGATCCGAAGGGGCTGCCCCCAGGGCTTAAGCGCACGAATTGGGGATTAGAGGTTTGGAGTTTACAGGGGTGGCAGTGGGCAAAACGCACGTGGCAACATGTTAGTTGGCCATTCTACAGGTAATAGCAGACAACCCAATCTATGAAGCATAAATGTACCGGATACAAGCAGAAAGCAAAGAGACACTCATTGCGATCTTCCCGCTGCGGCGAAAGACAAGCCAAACCGCAGAAGTCGTGACTCCAAGCGCGACCATTTTGCTCCGTAATCACTGATGAGGTTTCTGAGGACACCCTCCTAGATTCGGTTTCCCGGGTCTGACCCTGCACAGACCCCAAACCATAAATACCCGAAGCACCCAGAATTTGCTATGGCGATCCCAAACCCTGATTGCCACCCTCTCCTAGGGGTTCCGTTCCGTATCGAGGTTCTAGACGATTCCAGCCCCAAAAACAACAGGGTTTGCGTTGCTTGGGGGGTTTAGGTGTATGCTCGACAAGTCTTCCACCGGCATGATAGGGGAATATTATCAAGGGCCTGGGGTTACTTTGAGAGGGTTACGGTAAACCCACCGGATTACTTACTTGTCCGGTATCCTAGGGGATTGAGGGGTTAACCCTTGGCATGAAATATACAGATTTTCAATACCACCAAAGCTGTACAGTTACCTATTCTATTACTCGGATTACCCCCACAGAGAGATCCATGAGCTCCAAGTCATGCATGGGCACCCGACAGAAGGGCTGTAAGTAGGCCCGTGCTCTGGCCTGCAACAGAGACAAAGCAAATGAGGTTTTTCCCTCTCGCATGGCTGGAAGCAATGTCCACAAGCGAGGTTACTGGGAGGTGACAGATGAGGTAGGGTTTAGGGTTTACCTATAGTCTCCATTGTAGTTTTTTTTGGGTTACCTTGTTTTTGCTTTAATATATAATTGGTTAAACCAAAAAAGGAACTAGAATGGAGACTATAGGTAGGGTTTGGGGTTTAGGGTTTACGCTCAGGGTTTAGGATTTAGGGATTAGGGCTTTTGTATCGTTTAGGGCTTGAACGTTTTCGGGTTAAGGGTCTTTGGCTTTTCGGGCTATTGGCTTGAGTGCTTTAAGGCTTTCTGGCTTAGGTTAGGAGGTATGTTCTGGTTTTCGAACATACCCGGTTGGTGAGTTTCCCTCTCAGTCCACAAAAAAACAGTGAAGGCCACACAACCGTGGTAGGATTGTAGCACACCCTAAACTTAAACCCTAAACCCTAAAGCCTAACACCGCCAATAAACACAAACCTCGCTGGAGCCCTGAGGGCGGATCCTGAGAAGGAATGTTCTACATTGGCCTCCACTCAACTTTAATACAGAGGGTTTAGGTTTAGGGTTCAGGGTTTATGATCTAAGGGTATCCACCTCGATAGGGCATTTGTCATAATTACAAGCATGTCACCTTTGAAGGCTCCTGAAGCGGAACCCTCATCTAGAACAACTCGCGACCCTAAAGCCACCCATCCAAGGGCCCAGAGCCAACTCCAAAAGCGATGGAACGACCTCAAACCGCGAACGCCGCCAAACTTACACAAAATCTGCCCCGAATCCCATACTGCATCAACCCTGAACCTCCCTGAACCCCTGCACCCCTGTGATTGCCTGCAGAAGCTTTTTGTACCCCAAACCCTTTGGGGGGAGGGACTCTTTGCTTGGCCCCGTGAACCCTACCCTGATGCCCTAGTTCGTGCGCTTTGGCCTTTTTTTGATGGCTTGGGGTCAAGCACTCTAGGCTGCTTCAGGATCTTAGGGTTGAGTCTCCGGGCTTGAAGGATTCAGGGCTTAGGCCTCTAGGGTTCTATACAGGGCTTGGAGGCTAGGGTTTGGGGTGTAAGGTGTGAGTGTGAGTGCGTGCATACCTGGGTTAGGCAAGCTAAGGAAGACACTAAGGAACCCTTTAAAGGAACCCCCCAAAAAAGTATAGGTAACCATTAAGGCCCCTATACCCTATATCCTAAATCCCATAGAACCCAACCCCAACCCCAAGGAGCCAGAAATCCCTCTTCGAAGCCTCACAGAAGCGCTTCACGTGCCCTGCGATAGGCACTGGGTGCCCGTATTCCTTTCCTCGGGTTTCGGCGCTCACACTAGGACAATCCAGGCGAGGCAGGTGCTTGGAGTCTGTTGAGTGAAACTTCACCAGAGGAGAAGTCTGAGTATCGTTTAGGCTTTATGTGGGAGTTTCCGAAGATTAGGGGTACCTTATTTGGGGGCCCTTATAATAAGGCCCTACCATTTAGGGTACCATATTAGGGTCCCCTATTTTGGGAAACTCCCATGTAGGGTTCAGCGGCGAGCACAGGTTGAAGGTTTCGGGCTGAGTGTGCCGTGAGGTTGGCAGGAATGGGGGGTTCCAGGATTCTGTTCCGGCTCTGCCGGCGACCATATGACCCCAAACCCTTTTGCTGATAGGCTCACCCAAAAACCCTGAAGACCATGAGACCCTTCAAGCCTGGAACTCAGACTTGAACGTTTCAACTGTTATCCGCTGCTTCACGAAAGGTCATCGGGAAACTCCTCTGCGACTCCTGTCTTACTCCGAGGCTCTAATCCGGCTCCTCACTCCTTACGACACAGGCCGGCAAACTCTAAACCCTTTCGGCACCTCGCAGACATGAGTCTAGACTAGACCTCCCTTCCTAAACTTGTAGAAAGTCTCTTCGCAACTCGCTCGTTGATGCTACTATTTGGGCGATTGAACGTTTCTGGCAGCTGGAGGTTCCACCTTGCTGCGGAATGGCCGGACACCGCCCCAAAAAATCTCCACTAAAGCAATTTGGGGTTTAGGGTTTAAGGCTTAGGGTATCCGGCTTAGAATACAAGATAAGATGACGAGGCCTATGAAGGTTGCCTATCTGCCAGCCAGACGAGTCATCCTTCCCCACACCGAGGGTCTACAACCCGAACAACGAAAACCTAAGCCTCCAAGGGTCCCGGACCCACCATCCAAACACTATTCGAACCCTTCTCCGAACACTGAGCTGCGGCGAGGTCACCGGCACGGATGATACCTCTGGCCTCAGAGCGTGCTCGTCTGGGGCCATGCGAGAGGCATTGTGCTATCTACCGTGTGAGAGCTTGCATACATACATACCTACCTACACACCCATGCATACATGATGGATCGTTAAATACATGCATACATGCGGACAAGCAATGCGACAAACAGTGTGTGCATGTGTATTCATATATATATATATATATATATAAGCATATGTATATCACTCTCTGTGTGCGTTATGTGCCGGTGCCACAATTCGAATCTCAAAGTTCGCCCCAAGGCTGCTCGGACTCGGGCGGCGCCGGCTCAAAGCACAGAGG